CCTGCAAAGCAGCACTAAGGAGAAGAAAGGAAGGCCAGGCCTGGCAGGGAAAGCACTCGACTGGAAAGCCTTATTTCCAGTCATTTCCAGTTATGGAGCCCAGGTGCAGGCCCCATTGTTCTCTGACGATCCACCAGCTGGCTGAAGAAGTCCTACACCTTCCCGGCTGGGCAGAGCAAGGCGGAGCTGGGAACTCAATCAAGGGGAAGGCAAGGGAGGTAACTGGGCTGACCCTGGGCTCACAAAACACAGGACAGAAGGCAGGGAGGTAATGACAGGGAGGGCTGGGGTATTTTACGCGGCTTGAAGACGCCACTCACCTGGAAGCTCTGAGAATCACAAACCGCTGTTCTAGTCACACAGCCACGTATCTAACAGCAAGGCTTCCGAAGTAAAGCCAAAGACCGACAGACACGCAAGGGGAAATGAGCAGCTCCCGGGTGGCAGCGAGAGACAAACCAGTAGAGAAAAATACATGGACATGACATAGAGCCATAGAATCAGGAGCTCGGTCTAACAGGTACAGTGCTAGAAAATTGGAACAGAAAGTGCAGTAGAATACACATCCTTTTCAGCCTCAAGGGGAACATTCAGAAAAAATGACCAGAAAACCCTGCAAAGACCTCAATAAACTCTCCACGCTTGAAGCAGACACCACACATACTGACTTTAAGGTGGGGACTCATTTAGAAATCAGCAAAAAGATAACTTCAAGACGCCATCCACCTCCCAAATGTTTAGAAATCACACAACACTCTGAAATGACTCTGAGAGCTGGGAAATTATAAAGCAGGTGAGCAGCAGAGAGCAGTGGGACCAGACTTGTCGGATGAAGCCAAGGCAGTATTCGAAGAAAAGATTTGAGCCTGAAGTCCTCACCGTGAAACAAAAGACGCCGTGAACAACTCTCCACCTCCAACAAGAAGTCTCCAAACAGAAGAAACTCTGATTGACAACAGTGGGTACGAAAAAGAAGTATGGAAGTTTTGGCTGACATGCTCCATATGAGCCCCAACTGGGACGTGGCTACTACAAAGTGCGCTGACAGGTTGCATCAACAGAGGTGTACCTTCCACCTCCAAGGAGGTGAGAGCCTGCTCCTTCTCTGACTGGGAAGACAGTGGGCTTTAGGGGGCATCGAGTGAACTCCGTACAATCGCCCAAGTCAGGGAGAACACCTGGAATAGCTACAGCCATACAACCAGAAAAAGCAATCCTGAGCTAGAGGGGAGGGAGACAGAGCCAGAATTTGGAAATTCCTAGAAAGCGAATTTGGCTAAATCTCGGGAGCTGTTTTGCAGTTAGGTCTGGGAGGCGGGGGCTGGGGATCTCCTCTGGAGAAGCTCCCTTTCTTCTTCAGAAAGCAAGAACGCCTCCAAGGCTGCCCGGGGAGACCTCAGCCCCCAGCCCGGGTTCCCCGAGACAGCCAGGGTGACCAAACTGTGCTCCCCAGCTGGGAGCCTGGTGCAGCTGGAGCCCAGGAAGCCTCAGTTTCCCTGCCGGGAGATGGGTGGACACCCACACACCTCCAGGCCCCGCCAGACAGTGCGCACCTCGTCCCGAGGCCTCTGCTTGTCGTCAGGCCATGGGAAGGCATTCACTCAGCTCAGCGGCAGCAGCACTGGGCCACAGTGAGCCCACGGTGAGTCACCAACACCACCATACAGCAACCCTTCCAAGCAGGTGCATCTCAGCTTATTTTTTTTCCCCTTAGTACTGGAGGTTGAACCCAGGGCCTTTGCACTGAGCTACATCCCAGCCCCTTTAAAGTTTATTTTAAGGCAAGGTCCTGCTAAGTTGCCCAGGCTGAGCTTGAATCTGTGATCCTCCTGCCTCAGCCTCCCAGAGTGCTGTGGGATTACAAGTGCGAGCCACCATGCCGGGGGGCATTCGGCTTCTAAGCAGTTTTCATTGTGTTTAAAAACAGTGGTGAATCTTGCAAAACTAATGCTGACAAAAGCAGCAAGTTGGAAATAAGCTATCTGAGTTTACGGGACACACAAAGCAACACAGGTATCCTGAATCTGTATGTATCATCTGTCTATCCATCCATCTGCTGCAAATCAGGACTAGTATCTCCTTTCACTAATATAAGAAAAATATTTATAAAGATAAAAAAACAGTGGTGAAGGCTGAAGGGTCTGGGCTTCCAAGTGCTCATCCCTACATTGCTGTGTGACCCTGAACAAGGCACTGAACTTCTCTGTGCTTGTGTTACTTCATCCAGAGCAGTTCCTGCCTCTAAGCGGTGTTGGGCCAGTGGAGTGAGATGACCCAGGCATGCGGTCCCTGATCCCCTCCTTGATGTATCTCCCTACTCCACTCCCTCTACAGCAACTTCTTCTGGCCTTGGCAGTTTCCTGGCTGCAGGCCGAACATCCCAAGCCTGTTCTCACCTCAGGACCTTTGCACTTGCTGCTCCTTCTGCCTGGACAACCCTATGTCTTGTCACCACCGGTCTCAACTCCAAAACTACCTCCCTGGCGTCACCTTCCCAGTGAGGTGGTCAGCTCCACAAGGGCCCGGGCATCACTGGTGGGTATGTCCCAGCCCTGGGCTCTGCTGAGTGAGTGTGAGCGCCCAGCCTGGGGCTGACACCGAGACCTGCAAGTGCTCCTCCTCTGCTCTTTGCAGGCCGGGCCTGCCTTCCAGGCGCTCTTCCCCCACCCCACTTCCTGCCACGCCAGATGCAGCTGGGAGTCCTCAGCCAGCCTTGCCCGCCAGGCACGCACTCCCTGGATCTCTCTCTCCCTGGATCTCACATAGGCTGCACGCCACAGCAGGTCAGGAGGTCCTGGGGCCCTGCGCTCCCCAATGAGTCAGGAGAGGCCAAACCCCAAACCCCAGAGACAACAATCCTTCTTGGGAAGGCAGGAACACAAGGTTCAGATGGGTCTGTCCCCAAGTCCAAGAGGAGTGTGGAAGCAGGGTGCTCCTGCTCCGTGCGAAACTCCTGCCTGCTGCCCCCTTTCGGTCATGGTCACCACCTAACAGGTGGTGAGGTCCCCAGGCTCTGAGCCAGGCAGGTCTCTGGGCTCACAACCACACGGGTGGGGCGCAGATCGTCTTGTACCAAAGACCCCTGGACAAGCCACCCCACCCCAGCTCCAGAGGCCCGCCCACGAATGGAGCACACAGAGTCACTGCCCCGACACCAGAGCGGACTCCCCAGCCTCTGCCCCAGCTCAGGTCACAGCCAGCTTCCAAATGAGTTAGGGCAAATTTAGTTCCAGTGCCTGTGGACTTTGGAATGTGAGATAAAGGCTGCATGTATTTGTGTATGGCCTGTCTAGCGCCACCAGGGACCAGGGTCGATAAAAAGTACCTCACAGACAAATCCAGTGACAAACAAAGGGAGCCTCAGAGGCCAGCAACCTCCACTGGGTCACAGAGCTAGGAGGCAGCGAGCCCAGATCTGAGGAAGCTGGGACCCCTGTCTGTAAGTCTGTGTCCCCCTCTCTGCCTCAGGCTGAGACCCGTCTGGGAAATCAACCAAGCAACACAGCCAGGCTGATGTGGGGTCCCCGCCTCTGCAGGACCCTCAAGCCTCCACAGGGGTGCTCTAGGTGGACACAAAAGCAGGCAAGTCTGGGCAACCTCCAGGCCTCGGCTGGGGGAAGTGTGGCCAAGCGTGGCCAGGCAGGGCTCTGCAGTGCTGGTCAGCCCTCAGCTGTGCTCAGTGGAGAGAACACAGGTGAAGGGGAAAGCAGGTCTGAGCCCCTCCCTCCGTCACTCAGATGGGAGACCTCAGGCCAGGCCACTGAGCACAGCACTCGGTTTGTTTCCTCACCTGCAAAATCAGTCGGCTCAGTCCCATCTGGAGGAGTTCGTGGGACATGACAATAAAGAAGTATTTATTTAGCAAACAACAAGCACTTCCTACACACCTGGGGATGTTTTGTGTGTTCGACATAAATTACTTGGGGAACCTTCATCATAATAGTATAAAAAAGCAGTTCCCAGGATGTCACAAACCAGAGACTGAGGTTGGAGAAGCGAGCTCCGAAGCAAGTTAGCAAAGCCAGCATTCGCACCTGGTCAGTCTAGCTCTGGAGTCATCATTCTTAACTTGCAAGTCACATCTCCTGCCAGGTGGCAAATGACAGAAAGCTGCTGTGGACCTACTATGTGTTGAACTGTGGTGTCGTGGCCCACGAATGCCCACGTGGAGAGACTCAGCCAGGGGCTCCCGTCCCTGCCCTGCACCCCGAACACAGTGGCCTGTGGGCTGAGGCTAATCCTGTTCCACTCCTCCCACTGCACTTCCCCCCTGCTCTAACTCTGAGCAGCTGGAAGCCTCACAGGCCTTGGAGGCCCTTCCCCGGGTCTCCCAGGGTTCTGGGATTGTGTTCTCCAGCAGTCTGGGAGGCTGAAGCAGGAGGATTGAAAATTTGAGCTCAGCCTGGGCAACTCAGTGGCTTCCTGAGACCGCGTCTCAAAATAAAATATAAAAAAGGGCCGGGGATGGAGCTCAGTGCAAAGGCTTTGCTTCAATACACACACACACACACACACACACACACACACACGCACGCACGCACGCACGCACACAGCTCAGTCACTGAGTCACTGCAGACTCCCAGACCTGGCCTGCGGCGACTGCACTGGGGCTTTCCTCCCAGCTGCCTCCCCCTGGCCTCCCTCCAGACTCGGTAGGAGGGACCCGGGCGTCCCACTGTGACCCCTCAGCTCACCAGAAGGTAAAGTTTACTGGCCCCTCAGCTCGGCATTCAAGGCCTCCCGGGCTGGCCTCCCTTCCAAGTCTCTGGCTCCTCCCGAGGGCTCCCTCACATCTCCGGCCCTGCCCGCTGCGTGGCTCAGAAAGCCTTCCCCCACCCACCTCGGCTTTTCCAGCCCCCTGCTGTGGTTCCTCAGCCCCAGCCCCAGCGCCAGGCCCACCCCGAAGCTCTCCCCACTGTCAGGCTGACTCCCCCAGCCCAGGAGCTACTCCAGATCAGCAAGGAGTCTGAGGCGCGCAGTCTGTGCCTCAGTGTCCCCACCTGTAACGTGGCTGAGTCCCTGGAATCCCTCTGCGGTGTAGCACACCCCGACCAGAATCCACCGGGCCTCAGTCTCCCCCGGGACTTCGGGGTGGGACTAACTTCTCATCAAGCGCCCAGGCTCCTAAAAGGCCGCTGCGGGAGGAGCCGCATCTCCGAGGCCCGGGAGGGCAGAGACGGACGCGGGCGGCTCAGCGCGGGCGCCGGGCACTGTTCCTCCGCGCCCTGCAGCACCGCCCCGAATACAGCTTAAAGGAACAACAACCCGACTCGGTGGCCTGTTGACTCCGAAACGCGGGAAGGGCCAGGGAGCCTCCGAGACCCGGGTTTCAGAGGGCGGTGGAAGCCCGGGTTCGAGTCCGCCCTCCCGCCCGTGGGCGTCGCCGGGGCCGAGTGACTGACCGGCTGGGCTGCTCGCGGTTTCGCTCGGGACACGTCTGCGACCGGGACGCAGCGCGAACAGTCCCGGGAATCCCGCGACGCCCCGGCCAGCGCTCGGAGGAGGCGCCCGCCCCGCCGGGTCAGGACCCACGCGCGGCCCCCGGGGCCCCGGAGCCGTTCCCGCGTCCGCGCAGGCTCGGGGCACCAGGGCGCCTGGCCCGAGCCGTCCCCGGCGCCGGCTGCGTGTCCGGCGGCCGCCCTCCCTCTGTCCCTCGTCCCTCCGCTCGCGCGCGGCCCCGTCCTACCTGAGCGCCCCTGGCCATTCGCCGGCGTCGCCCGAGCGAAGAGGGTAACCGGCCTGCCGCGCCGCCGGGGCTTTCCTGGGCGGACCCGCCCGCCCCGCTTCCTGCCTGCCCCTCCTTTGCATGCTCCGCCCCCCCGCCACGCCCCGAAGCGCTCAGCCCCGCAGCCCGGCGTCACCCGCCAAGGCCCGGGGGCTGGCGGCGGCCTTTGGAGCGCAGTGCCCCTGCCCTTCCCGCGGGTCCCTCGCCCGGGTCTGGGGCGGGCCTCGGGCTGAGCTCGGAGGGCTGCGCGGCCCGCACCTCCCTTTCCAGCAGCCCACCTCCCAAGCGCCAGTGCTCACTCACTCTCACTCTCAGTGATGTTAACGGAGCGCCTAGCCGGGAATCCGGGAGGCTCCCTCCGGCCAGTGGCCCGGGGTGTCAGGCCCGTGCAGAGGCCCTTTCCACACTCCGGGGTACCCAGTTAGGGTGCTATACACGGTCACACCGTGGTTTACAGGTAGGGGAGCTGGGGCCCAGAGCTGGTAAGAAATTCGCTCAGAATCACAGCAGGTAAGCAGCGGAGCGCGGATTTGAACCCCGGGCCATACAGACTCCCAACCACTGTTCACCAGAAACCCGGGGGCCCAGGTGGCAGGAAGAAAACTCCAAGGTAATTCAGGTAATCAGCCCCTGAGAGAACAAAACGGAGACAGGCCGCGTAGGCCAGTGGGTCAGGAGCCGAGGGAGGGCCCTGCAGCGGAGACGTGGGCGCTGAGAGGCGGAGGACGCGGGGCCTCGGGAGGCCTGGACCCAGCCAGATGCGCGCTGTGGATGCAGCCGAGGCGCGAAGGCCCTGCCGCCCTCAGACTTGCAGCTCCGCCGGGTTAGCTGCAGGGCGGACAGTGCAGTGGACGGGGCCCTGGGAGTCAGGCCCGGCTTCCCGCAGGAAGTGGCCTCGGGCGGTGACCGAGATTCAGGGGGAAGGAGAGTGACAGACAGGCACAGTCCCCGCCCCCCAGACCTGGGGACCCGGTGCAGCAGTGACAGGTAAAGGTGTTGAGCGCGCTGAGCCCCCGGCTGGGGCAGGGGCAGGGCTTCCGGAAAGCGGGGCTCCAGAGGAGGCGCTGGAACTGTCCAGGCAGGTGGGAGCACCCTCCTGCAACCACTCCTCCCACCTCACGCCCACGCCCACACGCGACACGCCCACACTCTCCCACGTGGGGCCTGTGAGCCGGGGTGCTCCCCGCGCAGAGACAGGTCTGAGTGTAGGCCCCCTGGGGTCGCCTTGGGAACTGAGTTTGGGTTGGCTCCCCTCTGGTCCCCCACCCCGGGCTCCCTGCCGGTTTTCTAGGTCTAAGACATCCAGGTTCGTCCAAGTCCATATGCCAGCTCTGTCCCCTCCTGGCCCTGTGCCTCAGCACCCCTCTGTGGAAATCGGGGATAATCGTAACCTTCAGGTAGTGCTATGCTGGGGGAAATGGTGAGGTGCACACAGAAGTGCTTACTGGGTGTGGGTGGCACACAGGTGTAATCCCAGCACTCAGGAGGCTGAGGCAGGAGGATCACCAAGTTCAAGCCCATCCTGGGCAACTTAGCAATTTAGCAATACTCTGTCTCAAAATTAAAAATTAGTAAAGGGCTGGAGATGCAGCTCAGTGCTAAGGCCTCAATGCAATCCCAGTACGGGGGGGGGGGGCAGGGTGTACTTAGAACAAAGTCTGGGATGTGTTAGGGGCTGAGTAAGTGCTAATTAGAATAAGGAAGAGAAAGAAGCGCAATCAGAGCCATTTCCTTGTGCTGTTTGCTTATTGTGAAATGTGGATGGAAAGACTCCTGATAAGATCAGAAAGAATGGCGTAGATGTGGTCAGAAGTGAAGGAAGACATTTGGGAAATCTGTGGAGGGGAGGAATTACAGGAATTCTATCTGCTGTCCTTGCAACTTTTCTGTAGTCAGAGGTTATGTCAAAATAAAAAGCTAAAGCAGCAGCTTTGTCCCGAGGCCCCAGAGAGGTGATGAATGGAAGGCTTATCTTCTCCTGTCCAGTTCCACTGTTTGGCGCCCGAAGGTTATCAGTGTCAGACTGCTGTGTCTGGGCTTGGAGTGGACCTGGAGGCCCCCAAGGAATGAAAACTGTCTCCAGTCCAGGGGCTTCCCACGTCTGGCCTCTTAAGTCTCAGCTCAGCTCCTGTGATGTGCATCCTAGTGCACAGTTGTTCTCAAGCCCATCTTTTGATATTTAGAAGTGAATGGACTTCATTTGGGACCAGTTGTTGACTTGTAGAACACAGTAACTGAACATACAGTGCAGAGCTCCCATGGGTCCCCGTAGCCTGTACACAATCCCCCTGTTGTATCAGTGTGACACATTTGTTAAAAAATGATGACCCAGCACTTGGGAGGCTGAGGCAGAAGTATCACCGTGAGTTCGAGGCCAGCTTGGGCAACATAGTTAAAGGCCAGCCTGAAGTACATAGTGAGACCCTGTCTCAAACAAACAAACAAACAAACAAACCAATGACCCAATGTAGTAGTGCCTTGGTTCACAAATTTAATCCTTTCCACGAATTCTGCAACCAGCATTGAGTTTTTGGCAGTACTGGAAATTGAATCCAGGGCCTTCACACAGAGCTGCATCTCCAGCCCTTTCTTATTTTTTTATTTTGAGACAGTGTCTCACTAAGTTACCCAGGCTGGGCTTGAATTTGCCATCCTCCTGCCTCTGCCTCCCAGAGTGGTGGGATTACAGGCATGTACTACCATACCCAGATGACATATTGTTATTAAAGTCTAGAGTGTGAACTCTTGTGTGCTTATATGGGGCTTGACAAATGCATAATGTCAAGTAGCTACTGTACAGCAACATAAGAAACAGTTTCACCTCCTTAAAAATCTCTTGTGCTCTATTTATTCATGCTGAACCCAGGGAACCAGGAGTCTGTTTCCTGTCTCCATGGTTTTGCCTTTTTTCAGAGGGTCGTTTGGTTGGGATCACAGTGTATGGAGCCTGTTAACACTGCCTTCTTTCACTCAGCAATATGCTTTTCGGTTCTTCTATGTCTTTTTGCAATTTGAGCCTCATTTCTTTTGTGGTTGAGCAAGACTTCATTATGAACATTCCACAGTTTGTTCGATTTCTTTTTCTGAAATATGGTCTGGCGTGTAGTTCAGGCTGGTCTTGAACTCATTATGTAGCACAGCCTGTCCTTGAACTTCCAGTGATCCTCCTGCCTCAGCCTCCTGAGTCCTGAGATTGAAGGCGTGTGCCACCACATCATAAAAAATGACCCATTCATTCACTTATTGAACAATATCTTGGTTCCTTCCAGTTTAGGGCAAGTTTGAATAAAGCTGTTTAGGACACTTGTGTACAGGATTTTGTGCCGACTTAAGTTTTCAACACAATTGAGTAAATACCAGGGAGTCCAGTTGCTGGGTCATGTGGTCAGACCATGCTCAGTTGTGTAAGAAAACTCCAACTGGTCTTCTGGCTCAGCTACACCATTTCACGCCATCAGCAATGAATTCAAGTTCCTATTGCTCCTTATTCTCTCAGCATTTGGGGGTGTGAGGTGCTCTGGGTTCCAGCTGCTCTAGTAAGTGTGCAGTGCCACCTCATTGCTGATCTAACGTGCAGTTCTTAATGACAGAGGCTGCTGAGCGTCGTCTCCTATGTGTTGTTGCTATCTGTGTATCTTATTTATTGTCTGTTAATATTTTTTGCCTATTTATTTTCTTGTGGTTGAATTTTCAAAATTCTTTGTATATATAAATATTTTGGGGGGGGAGGTACTGGGGAATAGAACTCAGGACCTTGTGCTTGCCAGGCAGGCATGGCGCCACTGAGCTAAATCCCTGGCCTGGTAGAGTTTTAATGTAAGTCCATTAACAGTGTTTCCCAAAGGTTATCTCAGTGTATGGCTTCTCTTTTCACTCTTTTAGCAGAGTCTTTTGCAAAGCAGAGGTTATAAATTTTGGTAAAGTCCAAATCATCTATTGTTTTCAATTAATCATTTTTGTTTTGTTTTTTGGGGTTTTTTTGGTACTGGGGATCGAACTCGGGACCTTGTACTTTCAAGGTAGGCAGCAGAACCACTGAGCTAAATCCCCAGCCACTCAATCATGTTTTTGACGTTGTGTTTACGTATTGCCAAGGAAACCTAGGTTCAAGATTTTACCCTATAGGGCTGGGGATTTAGCTCAGTGGCACTGTGCCTACCTTGTAAGTGCAAGGTCCTGAGTTAGATCCCTGGTACTGAAGAAAAAAAAAAAAGATTTTACCCTATGGTATCTTCTAAAATTTTCCAGTTTACATTTAGCTGTATGATCCATTTTGAGGGATTTTTGCGACAGGTGTAAGATATATATGAACAAGAACTGAATCAAATTTTCCCATTAGGTCAACATTGAACCTAACCATTGAATTTGATTCAAATTTGGATTTGAATTTGATTGTATCAATCGAGTTGGGGAGAACTGACACCTTAACAATGGTGAGTCTTTTTATCCATGAACATGGATTATCTCTCCATTTATTTACATTTTTGGTTTCTTTCACTAAGTTTTATAGTTTCTTTCATGCAGAA